TCGTATAATTATTTAAAGTGTATTTTTATATCTTTACCAAGAACACTGGCTGAATTTTTTTTTTAGTTGAGTACTGTTATATGCCATCTGTAAGAGGAAAAGTTAACATGGGGCGGTGGCACTGGAGGGATCAGAAGGTGGCGGTTAAGAGCCAGAGGTGTAGACGCTAAGGTGAAGGAGGGGTAGGGAGAGATGGCGACGAGAATGTAAATATCTTATAACTTATTGCTCAAATTTTCAAGAAGTTCCAGCGTAAACCAGAGTTACATAAAATTACTGCGGGCTTAGTGATAGTTGATGTTGCTGTCGTTTGCGGAAGAAACCCACTGTTCTTCTGTACATGGTTGCACTTCCTTTTTTTATTTTTCTCGTTCTGGTAGGATATTTTCGAAGTACAGTACGAAGATCTTTCCTTCAAAATTGTGTATAGTATTTAATGGCAAACTATGGTTCATCTTATCAAAAAAAATTTGTAATAAAACTCCTCCCGTTTGTGAATCGTTAACAGTTATTAATTTTTCGCACAGGATGACCTGATTTCTATAAAAAGAAAAATTAACAATATCGTCCTCAATTATCTCATCGAGAGGATTAATAATTTAAATCTTTTTAAACATTTGATGAAAGTTACTACCATGTTGTCAATTCAGTCGTATTACTTATTGTAAAGTTTTATTTACGTACTGTTTTCTTATTTCGCTTTTTTATTAGATAGGACAACAAGGCAGTTTACATTAATTGAAGCTAGATTTTTATTTCTTTTTTTTTTTTATCCTTTTTAAAACAGTGCGATGATCATTAGTTTTGCAAAAGCCTGTCATCGTCGATCGATATCTTGAGTGATATATGTATGAAATTTATTCGTTTAAATAGCTCAGGTTGCTATAAGTCTACCGGGTTTTTCTTTTGTTCTTTTTTAGCTGATTATTCTTAGGTTTCGCCTTCATCTTAATTAACACGTTAAATGAAATAAAGTTGGCAAAACCGTTGTTTTCTTATTTATTTAGTAATCGTATTGTTGGCGTTCCTTTGATTTATATAAGCATAGGACTGTTATATATGCGTGTAGAGTATAGACTAGTTTGCTCTTTTGGGCTTCAGTAAGCCTGTAGTTGATAGGTCGTGAAGTCAAAAAGGCTTAGAGGAAACAGCCAACACAGTTTTTTTTACGAACAACAGAATTGTCAAAATTTTGAAATGCATTAAGCAGTGCACGTTTACCGTTTTTTTTAAATGTGATTAGAAAAATAAACTTGAGCAGATTTCAAAATTTTGTTATGGTGGAGGTAGAGAACTATAGTATTGTTAAGAATCAGGGAGCTATTGAGGTCACTGTGTTTTAGGACGAGCAAAGCTCGAATATTATCAGTTTTTTACAGTTTTGAAATGTTATTGCACGCTTTAAATGTATTAGTAGGGCTTGCTTGCGAAGTGTGAAGGTAAAACCTTGGGTATCATTTGCAACAGTACAGATGTGGGAAAAAATTTTTGTTAGCTTTAATTACTAAATGGTTTCAAATGGCTGGCCGGCGATACTCTTGTATCTGTAAGGAAAGAGGACTATATTTTTTTGATTTTTAGGCATCTTCGCTGGACTTAAAGGCGTCAGGATATTCATTTTAAGAGCTTCGAGTTTCGTAAGAACGGTTTCGTACGCAGATTTGGTTGGTTAACTACGTTTTTAGGAGAATTCGAAGTGAAAGTAGATCTTTTCGCACAGTTACTTTGCACTGTTGAAAAATTATAGGTAGTTATTAAAATTTTGTTTAGCCTTAACTCCAGTAATCTGACAGGCTGTACTTAAGCTGAGCGTACTGTTGCAATCTTAACCTACATCGGTTCGCTTTAGAAGTGTTATTACTGTAGTGTCGTTCCTCTTTTTTTCATAGATTAAGGAAATGGGCTTGGTAGTAGAAGCATTTAAACTCGTAGGTCATGATTTGAAGGGTACTTACCTTCTTTTCTTTATCAGTTTACTTTGGTTTTACTGCCATTAGAATATAAAAGCGCTTCAACGGAACGCAGATTTCTAGGGTGACTTTTTGTTCTTTAAAAGGTTAACTGCTTCAATTTTAATCAAGGTCACCTATTTAAATTGACATTTTGAAGTGAATTAAGGAACTAATTATTTGAGTATCTCGGTGAATTCAGTAGAAGTAGAATAAGACAATAAAATAAGATTCTCCGTATAAATCAGATTGACAGTAATACTGATACAGCCATCAAAAGGCTTTTTTTAGTTGGTAGTGAAATGGTTTTAGAAAGGTGAAGCAAATAGTATAGGGACAAAATTTCATTTCAGAAAAATACGGAATATTGTTGTTTTTGAGATAGTTCCTTTTAAGTGAATTTAGTGTTTTTGCCAAAATTCTTAGGTACGATTTCGCTAGTCGCACTCACTTTCTAATTACTGGTACTAAATTAAAATAGGTATCATAACTTTGTTCATTGGTTTATGGATTTATAGAGGTCAGAAACAGTGATGCTTCTGGAAACCAAAGTTCATTTATTTGATTGTACAACGATTATTCTATAATTTTTATATTTGAAGTGCTCTGTTTGCCTGCATTTGTTAATTTTTGAAAATACTTGCATTTATTTTTTAGATGCTTATGGCGTCAGTTCTAGTTTAGTTCTTTGCAGTTGCCAGCTGTTGTGACTGTGTTACAGTTTACTCTTTTGTTTTGGTTTGCAGAATGAACTTCAATCCCAATTTTGAAGCTATTGGGAATGCATTTGTCCAACACTACTATTCTAAGTTTGATGTTACCGATACGAACATAAGAACGACAGGCTTAAGTGACCTTTACGATCCTGAAAATTCCTATATGACCTTTGAAGGTGTTCAGTCCAGGGGTCGTGATGCCATTTTGCAGAGATTTGCGGTAACTGAAGTTAACATTTTTAAATAAAACTTTGTTATACAGCAATTTAATATTTTTTGCTTTCATTGACGTAAAATAGACCTGTCCTCGGGTACCGATTCAGTTTCTTTGAGATTTTTTTTGGACACTGACCACTAATTCAGTCTTTTTCAGACTCTCACGTTTAAGACTATTCAGAGGGCAATAACAAAGATAGATTGTCAACCATTGCCTGATGGATCTATACTGGTTGCTGTTATTGGCCAGCTTAAGGTTTGTGCTACTTAAAAAACTCGCATTTTTCTTTGATAAATTTTTTTAATTTGTTTGTTTTTTTGCTAGTAGTTAGATAAACAAAACTAGTCATTTTTTATTGTTTTAACATTGAGTAACCTATAAGTATATTACAAATGAGATATTTTACGATACCTGTCTCACTCTTAAGGTTTAATTGCTTTTATATTTGAAGGCCTAATAGTTTTGATTCAGAAAAATCAGATACTTTCAGACTGATGAAGACCCGATTCAGTCGTACAGTCAGTTCTTTATTCTTCGTCCCGCCGCAAGTTCATTTTTCATATCTAATGAAATTTTTCGTCTTGTGCTACACGACCACTAAATACTGTTTATTAGGTGTTAGTGTAATTTTCCGGTGTTTCAAATTTTGCCTTTTATTATCTCGGTGTTGTATTGATATGTTCGCGGTGCTTGTCTTTGTTGTTAAATTTTTGCAGGTTTTCAAAATTAGTTGGTTGGCAGATATTGAAGGGAGCTGTACTACGGCTGTACATGATTGTTTAATATTTTCATTGGTGTTCTCGAAGTCTCAAGTCCTTGAATTTTCTATGTTTTGATCTTTCATTTTGCCGCAAAATTCTCGTCTATTCGTATAAGCGTTCATTGCGTTTGCTTTACTTTGCATTCATATTTAATAAAGAGTTTTATCTCAATTTGTGAATAGAATGACTATGGCGTTTCGTACAAGTTTCGCCGTTTGCTGAAAACGTCCTCATAAGTTTACCGTATAAAATGTTTCTTTTCGTCAACAAGTTTCCATGTGGTTTGGAAGTTCTCAGGATATTCCGCTAACTGTTTATTGATTTTATGATGTTAATTTTTACTGCCATCCCGTCTATTTTTTTGGGGGTAGTGTTACTAATTGTTCATCAACGTCATTGGTTTAACGGGAGGAGTAATTTTTGTTTGTTGCCGTTTAAAGGTTATGGACTTCTAGCTTTGTGAGGTATGAGCACTACCGTTAGGACTGGGAAAGCGGCGACAAAGGGCCAGAAACAAATTTACGAAGAAAATGTTCAGGTTTTGAAGTGGTACTCGGCAGCATCTGCATTGTCATTGGTCAGTTTATGATTGTGATTGGGAAAGAAAAAATGTGAAGTATTGTAGCTACATTGTCTCAATATTTAAAAGTTTGTTGTTAATGATGGCTTTAAAAGTGTCGAAATTTTTATTGCTTTTTTCAAGTTTTATGTTTGATAAGGTATTAAAATGAGGTATTGAATTTTAAAATTCATTGCCTTTCCAGTGATTGTGGTCTTTCTACTGACTGTAGTTGATCTGCTTTTCTTCAGGTGGTTTACTTTTTGCCGTCATGCATGGTCTTTTCAACCTCGACGTGGGAGTGGGTTAGTTTGTGTTTAGCTGACTTTCCTCTTTTGAAATTATGCTGATGTGGTTTTTCTGGACTGGGCTTGTTTTAAAAGTAAATGAATAAATTCATTCAGAAGTCACTGCTTTAAGACCGGGTAATCGCTTTTGGAATCGACTTAGCAGTTTGATTTTTTGTATGCCCTCCCAAAAAAATCAAACTTTTTTTGGATTTTGAGAGCAACTATATTGTTCAACCGTTTCAGAATTAGGTCAAGGAGACGTTGAGCAGTAATTTTTGACGGAGAAGCCTCGTTTTTTGCTTCTTTATATCTTAGAATATTACAAAATAGATGCTAGCCATGAATTTTAAAATATTTTTTCATCTTTTTTTTTTGCAGGCGAGCTCTATGAGTCATTTTGTAATAGCGCAGTTACTTTTTTTCCAACTCGAATTGAGATTTCGAAATAACAGTTTTCCAAATGCTACTCATACTTGTTTTTTTTTCTTTTAATAAATACTTAACTCTCAGCTTTTTGATTGAGAGACGTTCGGAATGGCTTAAAAAGTTACTAGTGATAATTCTTAAGAAAATTCCTCGACTAATGTTTTCTGACTTCGTAGAAAAACCTTGCCTTTTCGCTCTATATTTCTGCTTCCGAAACCCTGTAAGCCATATTTTCTTGAAGTTTTGGCAATGTACGGAGAAGTCATTTAGTCTCCTAAAATTGCGAAGGCGAATATTGTCGACAAATTAAAAGGGTTTCTTTTCGAAGGAATTGTATTGGGTTGTTTTACACAGGAAATTAATGCGTATTTTATGGTCATTTTCTAGGTTCCAGTACTTTATCATGTAAACGGTCAGTTGAGCAGTAACCATTTAGTTCCTGTATTTTTCATTCATATAGTCATGTGATCTCGAATTAGTTCGTTTCTTTTACTTTACCTCCGCTGTTTAATGCAAATTAGAGTTTCGAGAAAAAAAGTGCTAGAACTTTTTCTACAAGGGTTGTTGAATTATTCAATTAACAAGCTCAGATGTCAGTGTTTATGAACAGAAGTTTAGTGTATAATATCTTTTTGTTTGGAAGCTTTTCAACCAGTCGTTGTTTTTGAGGTAAATTTTTTTAAGTGATATGTTTCATTAGTTTTTTTATGTTTTTGTTTCTTCTCTTAGGGACAATTTTTAAACCAGTGATTAACAGTTATAATAAAATTACTTTTTGAATACTCAGTTTTCTGACCTAAGAGAATGAAAGGAAATTTTTATTGAGTCAGATTAGCGGGAAGACTTTGTTTATTTATCCGACTTTTTTTGAACCAGAGCAACCGCGCTGATGCGGGTTGTCTTTCAAAAAGATGTTTAAATTGGATAATTCTGTACATGCATTTTTCTTCATTACCAGAGTTTCAGGTTGGTTTCGCAGTTTGCTTAATACTACAAGGTGGGGCTCTGTACACCATGAATTCTATGGCACGGTGTCGCCGTAACGAGAAGGGTCAAGTTGTGGATGCTGGACTAGATCTAAATCAACCTGAAGCTTTTGGAGAGTAAGCGTTTTGTTAGCCTTAAGCGTTGAATTTATTTCAATTCACATTTAAAGTATTTCTTCCAGGTATTGCAAAGATGTTATAATTCTTTCCTCGTTTGTACTAATCTTATCTTTGCTTTGGTCGCCGTTCTTTCTCTTTCTGCTTTTGATACCGGCTTACGCATTTTACAAATTTTGGACTGGACTACTTGCACCATGGATATTTGCTCGTACGGACGAAGAATTTGAGGACGATAAAAAGAATAGAAAAAGAGATAGAAAGCTGCGAAGAACCTAGTTATTTTGTTCGTTGATGAAGTGTTTCTCACCGTTTAGTTTGGAAAAAAGTACATATATTTCGAACTATTTGATTCCCTCCTTTTAAATTCTTATAATCGGTGGTATTCTTTTAGAAAATTTCACTTTTCTCACGCTTGTTTATTTGAAGTATACTTGGGGTTCAAAATTTACTTGCATTTTTTTTGTTCTTTACAAATAATTAATTATCTGAAATGAATGAATGCGATAAGTTTTTTTGGTTACACCTAAAATGACTTAACCAAATAGGTAATAGGTTTGGTTTTTACTGTTGCTGAAACCCCAATGCTTCTTGAGGTCTATTGTTCTTGTCAACTGTGTGTGACTTTAAAGTTTAGTGATATGCAGAGAGATTTAATGCTGGTTTTTTGATTTTACTCATAGGTTGTATTTGCAGCAATCTTTGAGTTTTCATGAATTAATTTGTATTAGGAAGGTTGTCTGCAGGGTACAATTGTTTGTTTTCTATTTCTGTTGGATTTGATTCTGGGCCGCATCACCGCGATATATTTTAGTATCTGAATATACTGGGAGATGAGTGTTTACTATTATTAATATTTAAAAATGTATTTTGTATATTGATAGTTCAGGTAAATGAAAATAAATTGTTGAGGCTTTAGCTAGGTACCTAGTTACGTCATTGTTAATTATTAGTTGTTTGGTGAGTAGTTTGTGACACTAATGAACAGTGACTAGCTTTGGATTCTCCTTTGACAGTTAATTCTCCAAGTGGTATTGGTATGGTATCAATAAACAAGAGTTCCTGTTAATATCTACTGCATTTTCGTCTGGATTTGTTAATTTGGTGTTGGTTTTGATTTTTGGGTGTCTACTTTGTTGGAGCGGTTCATTTTTTTCCCTTCAACTGTATCTTCTTTTGTGCATCTTTATTTTGCTATATCCAGCAACCGAGTGAATACTCAGCTTGCTGTGATTTGAGGATGGCTCTGGAGTTAGAGTGTAGCGACCTGAAGAGTCGACAAGCAAGTCATGGGTTTGTTAATGATGAAGCTTATGCGGAGGCGGTAGTTGAGCGGATTTTTTGTGACACGAAGTATGATCTTTTGTCTGTATTTCCATTTTCGATGGGGTCATTGACAAATGATTATGCGGAAGTGATAGATACTATTGGGACGAAGTCGCTGGCGTTCCAGGTGATTTTTTTTTTTTT